CTGTCTCCGCCTCCTGAGTATGGGACCACAGGCATGGACCTCCACACCCCATCTTCACTGTCTATAACATCAGCTTCTTTCTAAAGCAAGCACGGGAACCAACAAGTGTCTGTGTTGTTCACTTAGGCTCTTCCACACAGCGCCCTGGAGGGTTCTGGGGGGCACAACTTCCCATCTATGAAATGGAAAGACATGTGCTAGATAGACCGTGTGTCTTTTGAGGGGCCCTGGATTGGGGTGGAGAGCAGGACACAAGGTGTCTCAAAGGTCCTAGATTTCCCTGCCAGGAACTGTCCCACATACATGTTCTAGGCCTTGGTCTCCCCAAATCACAGAGCGCCATCCTTCAAGGAAAGTGACTCTGGCTGCCTTAGCCGTGTCTTTAGTGCCTAGCCACAGAGATGAGAAAAACAAACAAAGAGAAAGAAACAACCACAGATGACCCAGCCTCTTGGTGCCAACCCTGCTGCCCATTAAAGAGGAAGGAATCAAAGGGCTGGGGTGACGGCTCGGTGTGTACGAGTGTGTGCTGGGTAGCTCTGTGTCAACCTGACACAAGCGAAAGTCACCTGCGAGGCGAGAGCCTCAACTGAGAAAATGCCTCCCTAAGATCAGGCGGTAGGATTGGGAGGACCCGCCCATTGTGGGTGGGGTCATCCCTGGGCTGGTGGTCCTGGGTTCTATAAGAAAGCCGGTTGAGCAAGCCATGGGAAGCAAGCCAGGAAGCAGCTCCCTTCCATGGCCCCCCGCATCAGCTCCTGCCTCCAGGTTCCTGCCCTGCTTGAGTTCCTGTCCTGGCTTCCTTCAGTGACAGAGTACAATGCGGAAGTGTGAGACTTATAAACCTCTTCCTCCCCAACTTGCTTTCGGTCATGGTGTCTCATTGCAGCAATAGAAACCCCAAGACAGAATACTGGGTAAACAAACATTCGGACCTGGCCGGGTTCAACTCCCCAGCGCCCATGTAAACCTGGCCGGGTTCAACTCCCCAGCACCCATGTAAAAAGCAGGATGTGGCTATAAACACCCATAATCCAGAGCTGTGGGGGTGGAGACAGGAGGGTCACTGGGGATTGCTGGTTGCCAGCCTAGTTCCAGATTCAGTGAGAGACCCTGTCCCAAGGGAGTAAGATAAAGAGACAGAGAGGGACACCTGACAGCTTCCCCGGCCTCCATGTATAGCACACACACACACACACACACACACACACCAAATCCACCTCTTTTTTAATTCCCACAGCACTGTGACCACAGTCTAACTGAAACAATGTCAAGAAGGAAAGATGAATTTTGAATTTTGGCTTGTGGTCTCACAGGGTTTCAGTCCATCAAGGCAGGGGAATGTGCGGTGAGGGCTGTTCACAAGACATGGAGATGGTGACTCACAGCTGAAACCTGCCTCAAGCAGGCTTAGACTGTCCACAGCATCAACCTTACCCATCACCACAGAGACAGCCAGGCCACCTGGATGCAGAGAGGGAATTACAGCCAGAGGTGAGAGCATGGATTCCAACTCTGGAACATTCCAGCTGTGGGCTGGTCAGCCATGACCCACAGCCCAGCTTAGCTTTCAGGACTGTCCCCAGGAAGCAGAGACAGACTGCAGAAGGACTCAGGGAAGTCAAAGGCTCGTAAAAGGCAGCTGGTAGTGACTGTGGAGACCCCCAGCTGGGATAGACATGTCATTCCCATCACCTCTCAGCCTTTTGCCAGGTGAGGATTCCTTCCACTCTGTAATCGGGAAACTGGTTGCAAGAGTAAGACTGTGTAGCTGGAAACTGGCTGAGCCCCAGGCTGAACCCCAGAGGCCCGCCTTGCCCATAGCCACAACCTCCACTATCTCCATCCACCACCAAGTGTCCCCAGACTTCACCAGGGCCGCTGATAACTCCTGTGATGCTCAGATTACAGGCCATCCAATGTCCAGAGGCCTGCAGCCTTCCCTAGACTTCTCTGCCTAGACTTGGAAGACACCAGAAGAAAGAGGAACCTTGACTCCCCAGCTCCCTCCTCCCGGGTCTCCCCAACAGTACCTAGGAGTGTTGTCTGGGTGCCTACTCAACGGCTTCCTGTTCCCAGCGTCTCCAGCTCCCCCTGAAATCTGCTCTTGGGACTTTTGACTGCCCCTGTGGTTTGGCTTTTCTCACTCACTCTGAAAAGTTTATTGTACTTAGAAGACAATAAACTAAGCATGGAATGGTGTTCTTCTGATAAAATCTCAATGCCCTGTGATGGCTCACCAGGCCTCTTTGGGCAAGCTTCTCTGCACCCACGTCCTTTCTCTGCCCACCCTGGGCTTCCTCTATGGCTATATTCTTCCTGAAGCTCAAGTCTGGGAGCTTTTCCACCTCAGGCCTTTCCAGTGGCTGGCCTTACCTTCTGACGCTTACTGACTCATTTCACTGAGTTGAGGCCAGGGGACATTTCCAGCTGTCCCCAACCTCTTCCTTGTAGACACTCTGTCCCAGAACCCAGATCAGGCTAATTCATGGGCTGAACTATTTCTTTCCTTTCCTTTTCTTTTTTTCTTTTTCTTTTCTTTTTTTTTCTTTGAGACAAGATCTCTATATGCAGCCCTGACTGCCCAGAAATTGACTGACTATGTACACCGGGTTGGACCTGAACTCACAGGGGTCCACCTGCCTCTGCCTCACTAGCGCTGGGGTTGAAGGCATCTGCTATCACATCGTAGACTGGGTCCTCCCTGGGAGGACAGCTGTGTGCCAGGAAGTCTTTGCTAGCCTGGGTTTGTTTCTTGCTCAGATTGGGTGTTTGGGGGCCACTATGAAGAAAGGATCTTGGACAGTAATATAGTGTGGCCTGGAAGGCACTGGAGATGTGAGGGAAACCCAAAATATGCCCAGAGTTTCAGATGCCTAACACATAGCTAGCCCTCTGACTAAACTGAGGGTTCTCAGGACACTGCAGACAGCAAGAAGCAACCTGCCCGCTGTGGGGGCAACGTGGCCCCAAGGGACGCAAGGAATCGGGCTAGTCCAAAGGTAGGTTTTGGAGGAGCAGCCTTGGAACGAGCCATCGCTAAGCACACTTTCCTTTTTCCTGAAACTTACGTGTCCAGTCTAATGACCTCTGAGAGGAGACCCTCTTAGAAGAGGGAGAAAGCCTGATTCTACAGCGCGGGATGGGTTCACTCTGGAACAAAAACCCAAGTCATGAGTGGCACCCGTGGGAAGCCCCACGGCCCTCTCAGGTTGAGGCCACGCCCATTTCACAGATGAGGACACGGAGCCGTGGGCGAGCATGGTGGAGCCCCTCGGAGGTCACGCTGAGACCCAACTGCCATTGGAGCGAGAGTGGGAGGCGGCAACCCGAGGAGGGCTGGGTTGCTAAGGGCGCTCACAGTCCATAAGACTCTGTGGGCCCCCGCAGGAGTGGGTCCACACCGTCTACACCGTCTGGGGACTGGAAGTTACCACGAGAACAGGTTTGCCCGTGTTTTACCTACTCGCCCCGGTTTCCCCGCCACAGAGGAGTCAATTCGGGAGCCTCTTTAAATGAGGCCGCCCCGTTGTAGATTTCCTATGTGCCAGAACAGACGTCTTTCTTAATAAATTTCCCAGCCTCGGGTGTTGTGTCATAGCGACAGATGATGACAGCCTTAAAGGGATCAAGCAAGCTCCCTGGTTGGTCACTGGGAGAGCTGGGATTTGAACCTGGGTCTAAGCTCCAGTTCTGTAGCCGCAAGAGGAAACAGGTGGGGAACTGCAGCTGGGGACTGCCCCTCTACAGGTACACTAGCACGCCTACTCCGTTCAGTGTGTCACTGCCTGACGAAGATGAGCAGGAACCCATGCTTGCAAACTCACTGTTGGGGAGGAAGGTCAAGAGTTCGGGGGGCTCAGCCCCTTGTCCCGTCACGGGGACTGGTGCCAGGTCTTGGGGATTCTACAGGACTGCCTTGGGAAGCAACGGCGTCAAAGAACCAAACACTCACCAATTGCAAACAGCCGTTCAGGAAGAGGTGGGGGTGGAGTCCCTCAGCACACGGGGCTGCCCCCTCGAGCACAGGGCCCGTCTCCTCACTATCAGATAGAGCTCTGGCTCCTGACCTGGCTGCATGGCCGACCAGGAGCTGGTTCAGTGTCGGGCACAGGTGTGGGCAACAGTCCTAGGAACGGAATCGACAAGAGCCAGCGGGGAGAAACTCGAGGCTGGCTGCCTGCTTTGTGTGCAGGGTGGCAGGGCCTCTTCTGCTTAGCCGTAGAAGCCCCGGGTCCCACAGATCCCCGGGCATCTCCAGCCACACGGAGTTTCCCCTTTTCCAAAGCTGTGTGGTCCAAACCTGCCTGTAGGAAGAAAGTCCTAGAGCGCTCCAGGGTTCTTCCTACAAACACCAAAGGCAGCCTTCTGACCCGAGACCATTTATTCCCAGCATCCTCAGAGGACAGGACAAGCCATCATCGGGGGGGGGACACTGCCTGGATGGCCAAGGAGAAATTTAAGGGGCACACAGCTGATCGCAGGCTCCTGTCCTCAGCTGTGAGGGCAGCATCCTTGTGGTGGGGGAGGGAATGCGGCCAGCCTTTGTGGTGGGGGAGGGAGTGCGGCCAGCCTTTGTGGTGGGGGAGGGAATGCGGCCAGCCTTTGTGGTGGGGTTTGTGATCACTCGTTTCTGTGATCAGTCTGCAGCCTCGCACTTCCACATTTTTTGCAGGCCCTTATGGATTTTTAGAGGGTCGAAAACTGCGTAAAGGGTCCCTTTACAAAGGAGTATGTCACCTGGTTGAAGTGTGTGACAGCAGTCTGCCTTGGTGGCTCAAACCTGAAATTACTCAGGAAGATAATGTAGGTGGGCCAAAGGCTCAGGATGGGTTACATATCAAGTTTGGATGAGAGAGAGAGAGAGAGAGAGAGAGAGAGAGAGAGAGAGAGAGAGAGAGAGAGAGAGCGAGCGAGAGAGAGAGAGAGCGAGAGAGAGAGAGAGAGAGCGAGAGAGAGAGAGAGCGAGAGAGAGCGAGAGAGAGAGAGAGAGAGAGAGAGAGAGAGAGAGAGAGAGAGAGAGAGAGAGAGAGAGAGAGAGAGAGAGAGAGAGAGATTGGCATATTTTCCACTCAGGAGTGTGGCATCCGTGTGGTCATCATGACATGACTTTAGGGTCACTGTGTATGCCCACACACCCACTGTGTCCTTGCACAAGGCAATTGGGCAACTATCCAACCCCTACACACATCCCTTCTGGCCAGTATCCAGACCCTAGTCTAAGGCTTCTGGTGGCATCCAGCTGCTCCAACTTTCCCCCAGAGATCCAGGCAGTTTCAGAAACTCCCCTTGTGATTCCTTACAGGGCCCCAGCTTCCTCCAAAAGAGTGAGCAGCTGGTGAGTAAACAGAACTCTCCCTGCCTGGCCCAAGGGTAAGTCCAGAGTCCCCAGGCTGCCACAGACCAGCAGATGTGTCATCCAGTCGGCCGCTTGTTTGTTCTAAGAGGCCGCAGGTTCCTGGGAGCGGGCCAGGCTGGGAGTCACAGCAGCTCTAGTACTTAGTGTGAAATGCTTGGGGCTGAGGATATAAATCACCCCTGCAACATTTGCCTGGCATGTTCAAGGCCATAGGTTCAATTCCCAGCGCCTCAAAAGGAAAAAAGAAAATTAAGAGCAGAACTCCAGGTGTGTCCCCCAGTATTGCGTCCTCCTGATGGGGACAGAGTATGACAAGCAGTGTGACCGGGCTGCCTCCAACAAGCAGACTCCAACCTGCTACAGCAGGGGTGCTAGATGCCAGGCCTGACCCTGGTTGCTTGGGGACAATGCTTCTTCACTTCTAGAGTGGGATAGATGGTGGCACAGGGAGCGGAGGACCCCCAGGACAGCAATACTGCCATCTCCATGTGACAGGAAGTCCGTGGACAAAGCAGAGCCTTTAGCAGCGCTGGGGGAGGGGAGGGAGGTCACTGAAGCTACTTGGGGGGGCAAAGATATGTGGGTCCCAAAAGGCTTCATGATAGGATCATCTGAGGATAATGAGTTCTCCTGGCCCATTTTGTAGGCTTCAGACCAGGGAGGCTGGGCCGGGAGACTCTTATTGTGGACTCCCTGTGATGCAGAGTTCTGTGAGATGGGTGCAGGCTGTCCCGGGCCAGTGGTGACAAGAGAGGGCTGGTCCTCACGAGTAGGAGCGACAGGTGCTGGTTCTGTGACAGCAGGGAGCCATGGGTACAGCAACTGGAGGCTGGTGGCATGCCAGTAAAGCCATCACTTGAGACCCAGGGAGAGAAGTCAGGGCACAAGGGTGTGGACAAGGTGGCCTCTTCCTTAGCAGACACTAGCCTGACAGTGAGTGCCCACTCCTGGGGTACAGGGGCCAGTGCTCTTGGCAGCAGCTGAAGGCTTCATTCTGGGCTACCACTGGATGCTGGGGCTTTTAGTTCAAGCCACACAGTAGCTTCCCAGCTTGGAGCTAACCTGATCTCCTAGGTACGGTACGCTCAGCTGCTCTCTAGCCCAGCTAACACTGGGCATCACTTCTCGGAGACAGTCGTGGGCCCGTGGTCCTCTTTGCATCCTTCCTCCACTGAGAACATGACCTCAGTACGGCTGCCCAGAGGTGGTTCTGTCTCCTGCTCCGGGTAGTGAGGGGCGTGGTCCACTTCCAATTCAGTTTCCCACTCAGGCTCTGTAGATCCTGCTGGAGGCCGGCCCTCAGGGACCTCCGTCTTTACAGAGCCCACAATCACTGTGTCAGCCTTCATGATGTAGATTTTCTCTGTAAAGCAAGAGGATGGGTGAGGGAGGCGAAACCAGGGCCTCAGCCACTTCCACCTCACCTGCTGGGCGACGGCAGGCAGCTGACACAGCCTCTCCTGCATAGAGAGGTTGTTGTGGGGCCACCCATGGTTTCCTAGGTGTGTCATCAGAGACAAGCAGAGAAAGAGACTGCAGTCAGTCCAGGAAACAAGCAGTAAAGGCAGGGATAACAGGAACAGCGGGGGACACAGCAGAGCCCCTGGCTCTCCTCGAGCGCCAGCTCTGAGGTCCAGCATTCCCACGGACAGCCCCTCACCCCACCACCACCAAATCCACTGCATGGCTAGGAACCTGAGGCCTCCCAAAGGTTGGCAGGTAAGATCTGGAGACTCCTCCAAAGAAACGTCCAGCCATCTGGGCTACCCTGCCCACTTGACTCTACACGCCTAAAACGAACACCAATGTGACCTAGTTTTCCTAGGACTGATGGCCCCATGTCCCAGGAACCTTATCAGTCCAGGCAAATTTGGCTGGTTGGCCATGCCCTTCAGAAGCCTGGGTCCTGACAGTGTGCAACAGCGGGCTCCGTGTTTCTGTGGGCCAGCTCCTGAGTCTCACTGCCAGTCGGCAGGGTGGACGCTGACCGACAAGTGGATGGATGACCCAGTCCCCAGCACTAGGACACGCTTCAGTCCTCAGTACAGACTCATTTGGTGGGGGGGGGGGGTGGAATGGCCCTTCCATGGAGGGAGCCAGGGAGCCTTGGGGAGACAAAGCCGTTTGTACTAGGAAGCAGAAGTCTGGACTCCGAGAAGCAGCTGGCTCCATTCAGTGGGCATGGCACCTACGGCTTCAGCTGGGGACTGCACCCTCCCTTCCCGCCCCCCCCATCCTGTAATGGACTCTGCAGATGGGATGGGGAAGCTCTAAAAGGAACTTAAGGGTGGGGATGGGTGGAGGCGGGGCACATGGACCCCTGCCTCCGGGTTACACCCTCAGATTCAGGAAGCGCAGGAGTCTCTCAAATGCCCTGCCTGAGAGCATTGCACCACGCCAGCGCTTCTATTTTGGTTCCTCTCACACCCAGGGAAGAGAAGGACAGGGAACAGGAAGTGGAGGGAAAGGCCAAGAGAAAGAAGCACACTGTGTGCCCCGTGGGTTCCACAGCCAAGAGCAGGGCCTCAGCCCCACCCCCCACATCCTCCGTCAAGGCGTGTGGGAACCCGCATCTGAGTGGCTGGCAGAGGCAGCACAGGACCTGTAATCCTGGAGAAGCTGAGGCAGGAAGGCGGCAAGTTCAAGGCCAGCTTGAGTTGCAAAGTGAATGGTTCAAAGCCAGCCTGGGTAACTCAGTAAGATTCTGTCTCAGACAGATGGACGGACAGACAGACAGACAGACAGACAGACAGACAGACAGACAGACAGTGGTGGCATGTGCAGAATGGCAAGCTCATACCAACAGCAGTGGGATGCCGCCTGAGGATCAGAAGTTCAAGGTCATCCTTGGGTGCAAAGCAAGTTCAAGGTTAGCCTGGGCTAAGTGAGACCCTGTCTTTAAAAAACAAAAACAAACAAACAAAAAAGGTACAGAAAACATACAAAGGCTGAGGAGGCTGCCTGGCAGGCACAGCACTGGCTGCACAACCATGAAGACCACGGCTCAGATCCCCGGCAGCCATGTAATGCTTGGGTGGGTGTGGAAGGCAGAGATGGGACCCCCTGAGCAAGCTGGCTGGCTAGACCAGTTGCATCAGTGAGCTCTGGGTTCAAGAGAGACCCTGCTGCAAGATGTAAGGTGAAATTCAGTCAGGACACCCAACGCCGGCCTCTGGCTTCTGCACACACACACACACACACACACTCATGCACACACACACACACACTCACATACCCACACACACACACACCACACGCTCAGTTTTTAACATAAAAATAAAAACTTAAAACAAAGGTGGGTGGGCTATAGCTCAGGAGGAGGGCACTCCCCTGGCATCTAGAAGCCACCAGGCTCAATCCCTGGTACTAAAAAAAGACAGACGGGCCCACAGGTCAGGTGCTGGGTTCACTTGAGAACAGACCAGAGGCGCAGACAAAGGAGAGCTGAGGGGCCAGAGAGATAAGGGGCCGAGGATATGGTGCCTGACATCAAACCAAAAGACCTGAGTTCAGTCCCCGGGACCCACATGGCTGAAGCAGAGAATTCACTCCTCCCCCAGAAGTTGTCCTCTGACCTGCACGCTCACGCAGTGGCATACATAAACACATAAGGTTATACATCTGATGGATGATAAAAGTAATTGCTGCCAAATCCAAAGACCTGAGTTCGATCCCTGGGACCCACACAATGGAAAGAGAGAACTGACACATGCAAGTTGTTCTCTGACCTTTTTTTTACATGCACACTGTGACAGATGTACACACACACACACACAAATAAGTAAATAAATATTTAAGAGAAAGACATGAGGTGTTGGAAACTAGTGTGAGGAGAGAGGTGTTGGGAGAGCACAGTCACAGGGTATGCCCTCTCAGGTCTATGGGTCCAGACCCTCTGGCTCCACCCATCACAGGCTGCCCACCCCCAGCTGCTTAGATTCCGTGCCCACTCCAGCTCCCGGGCAAGCGTCCTAGTCAGGTAAAGGTGAAGGAAAAGAGAGGCAGGGGCATCATAGCCAGAGAAGGAGGCTTAGACCCATTTGTCCTTGTTGGGCACTGAATGGGGAGGCTGCTCTTCTGGTATGTCACTAAGAGGACAAAGGTCACCTGAGTCCTGGTGTCCCAGGGGACCTCCAAGGCCTTCCCTCAGCAGCCCCGCCCCCACACCCAGCCCTTGCCACCTCCCTCCCTGTACAGGCTCTGACCCTGTCTGCAAGTTCCAAGCCCTTCGGTCATCTTGGACTCAAAGGCCACAAGGACTTCTTGAGAAACTGAAGGAGCCTTTGGCAGTGTTTTTCCCAAACACATTCTTTGCAGATATAACTTACCGAAAGCAGTGACTGCAAACATTGCTTTGAGACAGACAGCTCTAGAGGCTCTCACCTCCACAGACTGCCACGGAAATGTGAAGAAGCCCCACCAATGCCCTCCCAGCATCATGGCAGGGCCAGCAACACTCCAGAGAAGGCGACAGGGCCCAGGGAGCACCTGCCTCAGAGAGGGGGTGGAGGGGAGAGGTGGAGAAGGTTGGCAGACAAGAGTCAGCTGGTTCCCAGTAGACAGTGAGCTAGAAGGCCGTGCCTCAGGACATGAGGAGATAGCCAGGCTCAAAGGAGGGGAGCTGCCTGCTGGAGGCGAGGAAACAGCCCTGCAGAGCAGCTCAGGGTGGGAGGGAGGGAGGGAGGGAGGGAGGGAGGGAGGGAGGGAGGGAGGGAGGGAGGGAGGGAGGGAGGGAGGGAGGGAGGGAGGGAGGGAGGGAGGGCTGAAGATCAGGAAAGCAGCCCTCAGAGGAGAGCAGAGAAGTCAGATGTGATGAAGCAGCTGGCTGAGACCAGATTGAATGCCAGAGTGAGGACTGAACACTCCATCCTGAGTGGGGATAACACATTATCAATGGTTCTCAACCTCCCTAATGCTGTGACCCTTTAATACAGCTCCTCATGTTGTGGTGACCCCCCAACCATAAAATTATTTCCATTGGCTGGGCAGTAGTGGCACACGCCTTTAATCCCAGCACTCAGGAGGCAGAGGTAGGTGGATCTCTGTGAGTTCCAGGCCAGCCTGGTCTACAAGAGCTAGTTCCAGGACAGTTTCCAAAGCTACACAGAGAAACCCTGTCTAGAAAAAACAAAAAAAAAATGATTTTCATTACTACTTCATAACAGTATTTTCGTTTCTGTGATGAATCACAATGTGAATATTTTTGGAGACAGAGGTTTGCTAAGGGGTTGAGAACCACTGATGTATGTGTTCTGGGGTGGTAGGAAGTGTGGAAGGAGGCAGGGCCCACAGGAACCACAGCAGATGTTCGTCCTGGCTAGAGCGCAGCAGAGGAGGAAATGCTGGGGGCTCAGCGCTGGCCTCTGAGCTCCTGCTGAGATCCACTGGTGTGGGTAAACCAGCGCTCCAGGACCCATCAGATATGGACGGGGCTGAGTCTCCGCAAATCAAAAAGAAAACTCACTCCACACCTCTGCCTCAAGTCTCAGTTTCCCCAGCCATGAGACAGGGTGGAGTCATCATTCCCAGAAGTATTTGACTGACATAAAGATAAGTGTCTGATGTCACCAGCCCGCCTTCCTTCTGTCCCTTCAAGCTCTGCATTAGGCCAATGGGGAAGGATTCTCTTTCTCTTTAATAATGATAAACACTGCACTCATCACCCCATGCCCACTTAGTGACTGTCCCCAACAGTCCCCATGAAGTGACACTCCTGTCATTCTCCCTGGGCAGAGTGAGCAGGGGAGGAATGTACACCTCCCGCATCCGGAGCTCACATCCATCCCCCTTCTGATTTGGCCAGGCCCTCCCACCAGGAGGACTCACCAATCCTGTTATTCGTGTGTTCCGTGGTGGATACCCGGGGCTCTGGAGGTTCCCTGGGGGTCAAAGGATTCCCAGCTGTGCTGTCATCCAACAGTGGTTGGCTCTCCAGGCAGGCTGCCCCAACACTGGTACAAGTCTCCACAGCTGGAGGGCTCACCTGACTCAGCTTGTGTCCCGTGCTGGGATCTGTCGTTGACACACTTCTCTTCAGCTGCTGTGAACGAGAGCCAGAGCTGAGGCAGGGCTCCCCCAACTCCACCAAACTGCCAGGGAGACTTAAAGCTGCCGCAAACCGTGTGCCAGCATGAGGCGCCTGTGTGTGGCATTCCCAAGAATGTCCAGGGGGGTTTGTTTTTGTTTTTTGTTTTTTCATGGTTTTGTTTTTTTAATTGAGATATTACCTCACCATATAGCCCTGGCTGACCTAGAACTATTAATATATAATAGGCTGGCCCAGGAACTCACAGAGACCCATCTGCCTCTGCTTCTCAAGGGCTGGGATTCAAGGCGTGCAGTGCACCCATCGACTGTTTTGTGTTTGTTCGTGAGTCTCCTGTAGCAGCTGAGGATGACCCTGAACTTCATCTCCCCAACACTGATATCACAGGGCCAGGGTTGCTACGACGCCCAGGTTATGCCCGGTGGGGCTCCAGCTCAGGTGGGTGCTTACTAGGCAAGCACTCCACCCAAGGGGCCACATCCTCAACTCACTCCGTGCTGAGCAGCAGACAGTGACTCACACACTCTCTGCTTACTGCCGGTGAGCCCTTCCAAGACGGATGTGCCTGCCACGCCTCACCACCCTGCCAGGTTGCAGTATTAGCCCCTGCCTCTCTCACAGATGGAGAAACTGAGGCCTGGGGGAGTGGGGTAACTCACTCAGGGTCATACATACAGTTAGTAAGTTTCTAGCCAAGGATCTAAATGCTGGAGGCTCCTCCAGGTACCTCTTCACTCCCAACTTCTGGGGAGAGCAGTCTTTAACTGTATCCTAATACAGTTAAACACACACACACACACACACACACACACACACACACACACACACACACACCTTCAGAAACATGGTGGTTTGGTTTTTCAAGTTCAGGTTTTCAAAAGGACCCAGGCTGAGGGATTCACAGAGCAGATCTATGTAACCTTGATTATTCTTTTCTGATAACCTGAAGGCCAGGGCTGGCAATATAGCTTAAAATTGTAGTGTTTGTGCAGCACTCTGATTTGATTCCCAAGAACAAGAAAAACAAGACACATAAACAAACAAACAAAAACAACAAAAAAAAACTAATTTTAGCCAGGCATCCTCACATTTGGGAGGTGAAAAGGCAGAAGGATCAGAAGTTCAAGGTTACCCTCAGCTATATGAATTTTAAGCCAGCCTGGGCTACATAAGACCTTGTCTCAAAAATAAGTAAATAAATAAATAAGGAACTGAGGGGGCGCCCTCAGTGGTTGAAAGCACTGGCTGCTCTTCCAGAGGGCACGGTTTGGCTCTTAGCGACCGCACAGTGGGCTCACAACCATTTGTAACTCCAGTTTCAGGGCTTCAGGGGAGTTGAAGCCCTTTTCTGGCTTCCACGGGTACCAGTAATGTACACGGTGCACAGGCATACATACAGGAAAACAGCCATACACACAAAATAAAAATTAAAAACAGAAAGAGCAAACTGAGAAAAAAAGTAGCTGCTATGAAAGAAAGAGGAGAGAGAGACAGAGACAGAGACAGAGAGAGACAGAGACAGAGACAGAGACAGAGAGAGAGACAAGCAACTTGCTCTCAATGGAAAACAAGGAAAAGCTGTGTGAGCCATGAGCACCTAGCACAGGGTCCCAGGCAGGTGCCTCATCCTTAACCCTGCACCCCTCCCCCAGCTCTCCCCCACTGTCACATGTCCCCTAGGAAGCCTGATGAAGGACTCAGCAAATGCACAGCCTCTTCAGAGCCCTGCACCTGGCCCACATGGAGTCACTCTGTCAGAGGTGACCCACGTGCCCCAAAAGGAGGCAGCTGGGGGACCAGGGTCTAGCACCAGCTCTGAAGTCCCCCAGGACAGGCTGGGGCTCTAATAGAGTCACCAACTGGGCAACCCCGAACTTGTTTGATTGCCATTTCCTCTTTTACCAAATGTGACAAGAGTACCAACTCCTGCGAGTCAGGACTCTCTGAGGTAGCTTCTAGCAAGCCAGATGTGGTGGTGAAATTCACACCTGGATCTCGGTGTGGGCTACTCAGTGAAAGCCTGAAGAGAGGGCAGGGGAGGGCATGTGTGTGTGTGTGTGTGTGTGTGTGTGTGTGTGTGTGTGTGTGTGTGTGTCTAGCAGATAGATACCAATCGCTCAATACATAGAGCTAACTTTGCAAGCGTAGGCTGCTGGTGTCTGCCATCCAGTTTGGAGGGCAAGGCTCCCAGAGTAAAGAGAGATAAATAACCAAGCCTCCCTCCAGACTAGACTTAGTACCTCAAAGTGGCCCCAAACAAATTGCTATCTGCAATCCCTGCTGGAAATCCCCTGGGGTTGAGCCAGGAGCGGGAGGTTGCTGTGGGGTGGGGCTCAGTCCCTGGCCAAGCCCTACCATGGGGCCCCAGGCCAAGCCCCTGGGCTCTTAGCTGCTTGACCTGGAACCTTGGGTGCCAGGGAAGGGGATATAGCTCTCCTGTCTTCCTATGGCCCCAGCAGGCCTGAAACCACACATCTGTGAAGAAAGAGGTCAAACAAGAAGACAGAAGCCTGGCGATGGAGGGTTGGGGTTGGAGATGGCACTTACAGCTGGTTTTTCAGTAGGTCTGAAATCTGAAAGAGAAAAAAGCAGTAATGTCACCAAAAAGAGTTTGACACCCCTCCAGCACTTCCCATCTGCTGACAGACAGCACCCTAGGATCTCAGTGGGGTTGAGCCTTGCCCACACCAGGGCTCAGGTCCCCAGACTGGCAGTAGATACTTTTGGGTTGAGTCCCTGGCGGGCCTAAAGCCAGTCTCTGAAGCAAGAGTGAGCTGGGGCCGGGCATTGGTGGCGCACTCCTTTAATCCCAGCACTCTGGAGGCAGAGGCAGGCAGATCTCTGTGAGTCTACAGAGCGAGTTCCAGGACAGGCTCCAAAACAATACAGAGAAACCCCAAAGAGTGAGCTGGGGCCCTGCCTCCCTTTCACAAGTCAGAAGAGCCCAGACTGCCGCACTGGAAGGATACTCCTGCTGTGTCTGCTTTGCTTCTCTTTGTGCCAGCCTAAGGTGACATTTGAGGGCTCTGGAGATACCTGGACCACGATTCTCAAGGCCCAACCTTTCTCTGTTCACCTCAGCCCACGCGCTCCCCCCCCACACACACACTCACCCCAGTATCCTTTTGTCTTAAATAAAGACCAGCTACTCAAGAACATGGTGACATTTAACCATAGCTCCCCGGCCACATTGCCAAACCCAACCCAACACAAGCTGCCCCAGGCCCACCATGGGGACAGAGCCATTACTGATTGCCAGCAGGCCACCTAAGGACTCTGTGATGCCAATCAGGTTCACGCTGACAAGGCAACAATGCCAGGAAAGGCTAGCATGCAGGACGGACTGCTTCTAGAACATGCTCTCTGACTTAGCAGCTTGACCCTGGATGCTAGCTGACATGTTCACAGCAGATTAACCGACAATAAACAAACTGAAATGTCACGTGGCCACTGCAATTGGGGATGGGCTCTCAGCAGCCGGGCAGGGAAATGCGATAGAGTGATGCTCTCTTAAAATGACATGACCAAGTTTCAGGCTAGCATGTGTGCCTTGCTTATGTAACCTGGTAACCACTGTCCCCAGTAGAGTGGTCACTTCAGGAAGTCGTGGCTTGGATTCTTGAGGTGGCCACTAACCAGGTGCTCTCTGACACTTGAAGTACTCTCTGACTTGAGATACAAGCTCTGCTTGATGGGATTTTTAAAATCTTTATTATTCTCTGTGTATGAGTGTTTTGTCTGCATGTGTGTTTGCTTGTACATCATTCACATGCCTGGTGCCCAAGGAGACCAGAAGAGGGTATTGGATACCCTGGAACTAGAATTACACAGTTGTGAGACCCCACGTAGGGGCTAGGAATTGAATCCAAGTCCTCCGGAAGAGCAGCCAGTGCTCTTAACTGCTGAGCCATCTCTCCAGCCCATGGTTTGCTCATTTTATGTGTTTGTGTTTTGTGGGTCAGGGTTTAACTGGCTATTTTAAAAGTGGCACCAGGGCCAGGGTGGGTGGTGGGGGGAGGTGAGAGGGGTGGTGCACGCCTTTAATCCCAGCACTCGGGAGGCAGAGGCAGGCGGATCTCTGTGAGTTCGAGGCCAGCCTGGTCTACAAGAGCTAGTTCCAGGACAGCCTCCAAAGCCACAGAGAAACCCTGTCTTGAAAAACAAAACAAAATTTAACATCAGTGAAACTAAATCTTTGTCCTTTGGAAGCAATCTTGAGTTTTGCAATCAGCGAACCCACATATGGTGCCAAGTCACTGTGAGAACCTGGAGAAGAAAAAAAGTGTGCTGAAGTAGCAAGAAAATGAACTAAAGATGCTGAACTCTGTCTTGAGAAAGAAGCAGGTAAGCTAGAGACTGGGAAGCTGTAAATAGGCGCCATCTCTTTACAGGGCTTTCTGGCTAGGACCCTTGCTGCCTTTGAACCAGGGGATCCCCCAACAGGGACCACACCTCAGGAAGTCACACTAGTGAAGACAAAAGCTGGAGTATTTATAATTCAAAGTTGAAAAGACGCCAAGGGACAAACAATAGTGTGGCTGAGCCAGTCAGCCCAACACCTCCTTGGAGGGAAATCAGCTCTACTTCACAGCTCTAAGACTCAGCCTTTCTATCTGGGAAATGGGACAGACCTGGTCAGCTTCTGGGGGAGACAGGACAGAGATCTCAAAACAGCAGGTAAGGCTGGGGGGTGGGGACAGGATTAGTGGGGGAGCCATTGCCTGCTAAGTGTGAGGACCAGGACTCTATTCCCAGTGCAAGCCTGTATATATACCACACACACACACATACACACCACACCACGCACCACACCACACACCATATAAAAACACCACACACACACACACACACACACACACACACACACACACACACCACACCACACACCATATAAAAACACCACACACACATAGACCATATACCACTTATACTCTCTCTCTCTCTCTCTCTCTCTCTCTCTCTGCAGGGGAAATCCTACAAAATGTTTGATCAGTGTTGTCAAAGGCCACTTAGGTCAAAAGGAAGTCTGAGAAACTGTTACAGGCCGGGGAACTTAAGGGTCCCTGGCACCTTAGGAAAAAACATGTAAAGAAACAATGGAGAAAGTGTGACCTTTGTTGTTTAATCGCAATACATTAAGGCTAGAGAGGTGGCTGAGAGGTTAGGAGCACCACTGCTCTTCCAGAGGATGGGGATTCATTCTCAGCACCCACATGGCAGCTCACAACATTTTAAACTCCAATCTCAAGGGATCTAGTGCCCTCTTCTGGCCGTAGTGGGTCCATGCACCTGGTGCAGTTACATACACACGAGCAAACACTCATATGCATTTTTTAAAAGTTAGAACCTTACTGTTTATTTATTTAACTGTCGTAAATGTACCACCACCCCCCAATGTAAGAGGTCAATAATAAAATCAGCAGGCCCTGAGCACATCAGAATTCCATTATTGTCTCTAAGACAAGGTGGCCTCCAACTGGTAACTGAGGATGACTTTGAACTCCTGATCCCACTGTCTCAGCTTGCAAGTGCTGATATCCCAAGTGTGTACCATCACATCTGGCTTTGTAACAGGTTTAGCCTGGGCTGGTATGACTACACGGAGATCCGCCTACCTCTGCCTCCTCAGTGCTGGGGCTCTGGGTGTGAACCACCATGCTGCTTTGAGTTGCTGCTACGATTGTCCTCTCTCCTGGAGTTCTTCCAGACCATCTCTCCACCCAGGGAGCCCACTGACTAAGCCTGCCTGGTTCCCAGTTGTGAACTTCTACCTTGGGGCTCTCCTGCCTCCTGCAGCTGTGATGAGACTGACAGGGAGAGCTCAGGGAGGGAGGGAACAGAGTTCTCTCATCCTAACATCTTCTAAAAAGTGAAGTCTGCAGACGGGCGCATGCCTTTATTCCCAGCACTCTGCAGGCAGAGGCAGGTGGATCTCTGTGAGTTCAATGCCAGCCCAATCTACAGAGTGAGTTCCAGGACAGCCGGGGTCATTACAAAGAAATCCTGTTTCGGCGGCAGTGGGTGTGGGGGGGGAGGGGTGTAGTGAAGTCTCTTTAGAACTTTTTCAGCTTAAATTATTACCAAGGGAAGGTCCTGGGGACACCTATGTGCTAACGCAGCTTAGACGCTCTATGGCAGGAAAAACAAAATACAGATTCTAACTCTCAGAAACAAGCATGCACTAACATCAGGGTTAAAAAAAAAAAACCACAGCCTAAGCCAGGAGGTGGTGGTCCACACCTTTGATCCTAGCACTCAGAAGAAGGCAGAGGCAGGAGGATTTTTGAGTTCAAGGGCAGTATGATCTAAAGAGCAGTTCCAGGACAGCCAGGGCTACACAGACAAACCGTGTCTCAAAAAAGCCAAAATAAATCATAAAAAATTTAAAAGGCAGAATCTAGAAGGCCCCAGGATCTGCCAACAGCCCTTTCCAACACATGAGTTCTCTGAGAAAGACCCAAAGCAGACCCTGCCAAGGGCAGAGTTCAGATTGCCCAAGTGCTCTTCCGCTAAGGTCACTGCATTAGCCTGCCTGTCCTCATGGGTTAGTTTCCTCGCCTTTTGGAACAATCACAGTTTTCCCGTAAATCCCCTCTGCACCCTAGGATCCAAATCCAGGACATTGCGTACAGCGGTGGCCCCAGGATGTCATCTCCCGAGCTGCTCCAAAGGCTGAGCTAGAGGCGTGAGGACTGAAGCAGGGTTCAAAGCTCTGTTCGGCCTGCCCATCCCTGAGCTCTCCCTTCCAGTTCCATTGCTGCTCGGGGAGGCAGGAGAATCACAACTGGAGACCCGTACGCTTAGTCAATGGGCTCCCTAGGTGGAGGGATGGCCTGGTAGGGCTCCAGAAAAGGGGACAGGCCCGGCAACTCAAAACAGAGCATGGTGGCTCACCCCTGGAGCCCCAGGAACCTGGGAGGTAGAAGCATGTGGACCCCTATATTCATGGCAGCTAGGGCTACATGGCAAGAGCCAGGCTCAAACAAACAAGCAAAAAAAATACAAATATAAATATAAAAAGACACAAGTTCAAGGCTAGTCTCAGCTACATGACACGTCTGAGGACACCTGGGCTATGTGAGACCCTATCTCAAGAAAATCAGAAACAGACAAAGGAAGGTATTGCCAACTCCAGAGGACAAGGACAGGTCCTGAGGGATTCCTGCTTCCCAGCTCTGGGATAGTGATCAAGAGTCTGCTACAATGATGGCCACATTCAAATAGTGAAAGAAACCCATGAATCCACACAGATGTCAGTATACACACTAACAAGGAAACAAGAGCATGACAGAAAGCAGAAGTCTCAAAACCCTCCTTTCACAGTCATGGCCAAGCCATGCAGCCTGGCGCCTGCACCTGCAAGAATGTGCCAAGCAACCGGGAAGCGGGCAGGAAGCCCCCCAAAGAGCCCAGCGTCAGACTGACACCCAACTCCATTTTCAGTGAGACGAGACTGAACCTGGGTCAGGGCCACAGGCGGGGTCAGCTCATGATCCTACCTGGTGTCAAGGCAGTGATACCAAAGAAAGAGCCTGGGATCTGACCCAGACTAGAGGGGACCCCACAAACCTGTCAAAGGCAGCACAGGATCCAACTGACCCAGACTAGAGTGGACCCCACAAACCTGTCAAAGGCAGCACAGGGTCCCAACCAAAGACATTATTGGACCACATCGAGAAACCCAGTCTGGTCCTGTGTGATGATGGCAGACGCCTTTAATCCCAACACTTGGGAGGTAGATGCAGGCAGATCTCTCTGAGTTCGAGGCCAGCCTGGTCTAGAGAATGAGTTCCAGGACAGGCAGGGCTATACAGAGAGACACTGTCTCAAAAACAGGAAGAGGAAGAAAAGGGGGAGGAGGAGAGGGAAGAAGAGGAGAAGGAGGAGGAAGGTGAGGAGGAGGAGGAGGAAGAAGAAGAAGAAGAAGAAGAAGAAGAAGAAGAAGAAGAAGAAGAAGAAGAAGAAGAAGAAGAAGAAGAAGAAGACCAATGATGAAACAACAAATAAGCAAACACACACTGTCTGGCATGAGCACACATTGGTGGTGACGGAATAAGCTAATTTCTATGATTCCAGTGGTCTTACTTCAGTGCCCTGGCTATTATGAAACACACAGGGAGGAATTCAAGGGTGATAAGAAACGGAGCCTGGTAAGATACTCCCAAAACTGTTTTGGAAAAGGTAAGTTTTCCGTACTGTGTTTACAACTCTCTGAAAATCTGCAATTCTATCAGAGCAAAAGAATTTTTCTTCAGCCTCCATCCTTCCTGTGGTAACAGCAAGGTTGGGACTGGAGAGATGGCTCTATGGTTAAGAGCATTATTGCTTAGCCAGGCATCGCGGCACATGCCTTTAGTCCTAGCTCAGGAGGCAGAGGCAAGTGGATTTCTGTGAGTTCAAGGACACCCTGGTCTGCAAAGTGAGTTCCAGGATAGCCAGGGCTACATAGAGAAACTTTCTCAAAAAAAAATCATCAAAAAAGAGCACATACTGTTCTTCAGAGAACTCTAGCTCAATTTCTAGCACACACGCCAAGTGGCTCACAACCACCCTTAAGTCCTACAGGCAACCACACACACACACACACACACACACACACACACACACACACACCTGCCCCCATGGACACATTGTTAACAACAATTTTAAAAAGACAGTCAAGGTATTGGGGAAGGACTGGTGGCTGGGGACGTGACTCCGTTGGAGCACTTTCCTAGCATGTATGAGGCCATAGGTTCAGTCTCCAGCTACACATAAACTGGGTGTGTCAGCACAACCCTTGTAATCTCAGCACTTCAAAGGCAAGAGGGTTAGAAGTTCAAGGCCATCCTCAGCTGCATAGCAAGTTTGAGGTCAGCCTGAGCTACAAGAGACCCTGTCAAGATCAATGAATTAGAGATAAGATGAAAAGATGGGCTGGCTGCTCTGGTACACTCTGGGGGTGTCACAGCTGAGGAGAGGTGCTCCTGGCATCTGGTAGGCTGCTAAACATCTTACAACGCCCAGCCCAAGCTCTGTACAGCAAACGACTCTTCTCTGACAAATGTCAACAGTCCTGAGAATGAGACGCCCTGTTCATGGAAACCCCAGTGACAATAACAGCAAATTTCTACCGTGCTGTCAGCTCTCAAGTGGCCTTTGCCTGATGATCTCATCTTCCTGTGCCTCACGTAGTTCATCTGGGGAATGAAGACAGTGGTGGCTGGGTGCTGAAAAGGCCACCCCAGGAGTAAAATGTGATTGTGTCTGTCCTCTGCAAAGGTACTGAGGGACACTTCCTGTAATGTCGGGCCAATACAGGTGACAGGTGACAGGCACCTGATTTGCGCCTGTTCAGACCATAGGTTCCTGCTCCTATTCCCCCACTTGGGGAATGACAGTCCCCGTGCAGAGGAGGAGCGAGTGGGGCTGGAACACCTATGCCTGCCCCTCTGGCTGTCCGCTCTTAATAGCTGTCACACTTGTCTACAAGGTTGGACGATCTAGGACAGCCGGTCCCCAGACAAAGCCTGTACTGAAGACGTGCTCATGGCGACAGCAATGAAATGAATAAATGCTCCTTTACAAGCCATTGCTCCAGGACAGACCCTCGCTGCCCAGGCCATGCCCACCTTACCCTAGCCATGTCCACCCTGCTCAGGCCATGCCAATCATTCTCAGGCCATGCCAATCCTACCCAGGCCATGCCCACCCTACCCAGGCCATGCCCACCCTACCTAGGCCATACCCATCCTACCCTGGCCATGCACACCCTATCCTAGCCATGCCCACCCTGCTCAGGCCATGCCCACCCTACCGTGACCATGCACACCCTACCCTGATCATGCACACCCTACCCTGACCATGCCCACCCTATCCTAGCCATGCCCACCCTGCTCAGGCCATGCCCACCCTACCCTGACCATGCCCACCCTATCCTAGCCATGCCCACCCTACCCTGGCCATGCCCACCCTGCTCAGGCCCACCCTACTATGACCATGCCCACCCTTGCCCAAGATATGGTCACCTGGTCCCTGTATGCTCACCCTGATTTAAGCCTTCTCTCATTTCAGTCTTTGAAACCCAGACATCAAGGGACCCACTGGAAGCCAGAGGTTCAGAACCAGACCCAAACACAACCATTGACTCCAGACTCACTCAGTTCCTTGTAAGCCCAGATTCTTCCGGGTGTTTTTCTTTCTTTCTTTTTTTTTAATCTTTTTTTTTTCTGTCTTTCTTGTTATAACAAAACTGTTCTCACGAATGTTTGGAGAGAGAAAAAAATTAACTGACGGCAATGGAAACTCTAATACTAGAAAAATGTCAAGAAAGCAAACACTGGTTTCAATAAGCCCTGCCAGGCAGCTCATGGAAACAAGCTTGAAACCATCAAAATACAAAAATCCCCTCGACTGGGGAGCGCTCCGGAGGTACGAGCACATTACTTATGAAACTTCTCCAACTCAAAACCCCCTTGGTGGACAGTGTTCTGGTGCGAGTCGGCCCAGCCCCAGAGCCTGCGATGGTCATGCACGTGTCCATCCTGGCCCAGGCTTCCCTTTGCACTAACTACTGGATACTCACCCACCTGCTCCATCTTCGGCTGGAAGTTCTGGGCTATGTAGTCCAGGTGGAACTCTGCAGAGATACCGGGAGTGGGGCTTTAGCGGGTGAGCCGCAGGGTAGGGACAGGCAGGGCAGGCACCCAGGCCAGGCCGACATAAAGCAGCCCCCCCTCCCAGGACCCCAAGACACGTGCACACTCACTCTGCTGGATCCGCCTCCTGCAGGCCTTCCAGTAACACAGGAAGAAGGAGCTGGAGCCAAGCAGCAGCATGGCCATGGCCGCCCAGAAGAGCATGGGCCCTGAAACACAGAGCCATCCTGTACTCTGTGGACAGCGAGGAGCCAGGGTCCTTCCCCGCAACCATTCAGGACAGCCCTAGGCACAGCCCACTTCCTCCTTCCTCCAGGGACATGGGTCCCACTGAGGTGGGCAGTCCTGGACCTTCCTCAGGCTGGACCATCTGATTGAGTCCTTATCTGCCCCCACCCCCATCACCTGACTTCAGGAAGCTGGTGAGCTAACTCAGAAAGTGAGAAAAACAAGCCATTTAGAGGGTGGGACATTAAGGCATCAAGGAATCAGAACAAGCCAGACATGGTGGTGCATGCCTGTAATCCCAGCAGTAGGGAGGCAGAGGTAGGTGGATCTCTGTGAGTCTGAGGTGAGCCTGGTCTACAGAGCTAGCTCCAGGCCAGCCAAGGCTACATAGTGGGACCCCATACCAAAATAAAATAAAGCTAAGCGGTGGTGGTGCATGCCTTTAGTCCTAGCACTTGGCAGGCAGAGGCTGGAGGGTCTCAGTGAGTTCAAGGCCAGCCTGGTCTACAAAGTGAGTGCCAGGACAGCCAGCACTGTTACACAGAGAAATTTTGTCTCAAACCACCCCCCAAAATAAATAAATAAATAGATAAATAAATAAAAGTAAAAAAAATAAAAAAAGAGCCAGAATAAAGCTGAGGTGTTAGTGGCGCACACCTTTAATCCCAGCACTCGGGAGGCAGAGGCAGGTGGATCTCTGTGAGTTCAAGGCCAGCCTGGTCTACAGAGCGAGTTCCAGGACAGCCTCCAAAACAATACAGAGAAACCTTGTCTCAAGAGAGAGAAAGAGAGAGAGAGAGAGAGAGAGAGAGAGAGAGAGAGAGAGAGAGAGAGAGAGAGAGAGAGAGAGAGCGCCTCCAGAAGGCTGAGATCCATGGCTAGTTGGGATAGGGAGGGTGAGGGCTGGTTAGAAAAACTCTGAGACCATCAGCTCCTGAGGGCAGGCTTAGCACGTGTTCTCTCTGTTAAAACAAAGGAGAGGGCTGGTGGGATGGCTCAGAGGGTAGAGCACCCGCTGCAAGTCTGACTACCTGAGTTCAATATCCAGAACCCACCCAAAGGTGGAAGGAGGGGACCCCACAAAAGTTGCTCTCCAACTTCCACACATGCGCCATGACACGGACATGCACACTCAGACATCACATGCATGAACGAACTTCTTTTCGAAGCCAAAGGAGGGAAACTGAAACTTGTCTGAAGTCACCTTGAGAGTCACCACCCACCACCCAGGTGGCTTCAGTGCCCCTCATTCTTTTTACACACACACGCACACACACACACACACACACACACGCACGCACATGCACGCGCACGCGCATGCGCGCACACACACACACGCAACGTCCGCAATAACAAGGATCTAACACAGGGCCTAATGCTCCCCCACTGAACCTAGCTTGGCCCACACCTGTGCCCTTACATAGCCTACTCTGTTGATCTTAACTATGCAATGCCTAATTGGGTGCAGGTCCCAGGTGTTGCCTCAAACTTGCTGTGCAGCCAAAGACAGTCAGGATCTCAGGATTTCCTACCTCCGCCTCCTCAGAACTGGGTAACAGGTGTGCACTACCACACTGGCCTTCCGTGGCGCTGGGAATGGAGCCCAGGCCCTCTGGCACGTTAGGCAAGCATTCTGCCTACTGAGCCACAGCCACAGCTGATGGGAGATGTCATTCTGAAATTTGTCTCTTATTGGTTGTTGAATAAAGCACTGTTGGCCAATAGGGAAGCAAGATAGGTGGGACTAGGAGTTGAGGAGGATTCTGGGAAGGAGAAACACAGGGAGTCATGATGTAGCCGCCATAGGAGTAAGAGGTCCGGACCCTTTTCTCCGATAAGAGAAATACTTAGATTAGCAATTATGGGTTAAATACTTAAATCAGAGATAGCCAGTAAGAAACCAAGCAAACAGCCAACAGCTTCATAATTAATACAGCGTCCTGTGTGTTCATTTGGGACTGATGCGGCTCTGGAACCAGGCTGGCGGGAAGGCTTCACTCTACACCCAACCCTCAAAGACTTTTCTATGGCGCACTAAGAACTGTTAACTTGAGAACTATCGCCACCTTGTGTTCATAACTAGTACTGCTAGTCCTGAAACCAACTGCCTCTTAGGGAGAAGTCAGTTCCGGTAACATGCAGACCATGCATGTGCTGCATACGGACAGCCCTGGGTGCCTACTCGCTTTTCATTTTACATCTGAAGACACTGAGGAAGAAAGGAATTAAGCTCCTAGTCATTCAGCAACTTGTTCTTAAATAGGGTTTCATGTGACCCACACTGGCCTTGAACTGGCTACACAGCAGAAGGTGACCTTTAACAACTATTTATTTTCTTGAGACAGGAGCTCACTAGGTCAACACTAACTGACCTGGAACTGGACATGTAGACCAGGCTGACTCTGAATTTACAGAGATCCACCTGCCTCTGCCACCTGAGTGCTGGATTAAAAGCATGTGCTACCATACCTCAAGTTTTTTGTTGTGTTTCAAAGAATTTCCGTGTGTGTGTGTGTGTGTGTGTGTGTGTGTGTGTGTGTGTGTGTGTGTGTGTGTTAGGTTGGGTATGTGGAATCAGTTATCTCCTTCCACCTCTACATAATTTCTGGGGATCAAACTCAGGTTCTTAAGTTTACATCCTTGGGCAGGGCAGATGGCAAGTGAGCCATCAGACTGGCCCAACCTTGAAAGTCTCCACCTCCACCTCTCAGTATTGGGATTACAGACACCCACTGCCAAGCTCAGTCAGCACTGGATTACAGACACCCACTGCCAAGCTCAGTCAGCACTGGATTACAGACACACACCGCCATGCTCAGTCAGCACTGGATTAAAGACACACTGCCATGCTCAGTCAGCACTGGATTATACACACACACTGCCAAGCTCAGTCAGCGCTGGATTACAGACACACACTACCAAGCTCAGTCAGCACTGGATTACAGACACACACTGCCATGCTAAATCAGCACTGGATTACAGACACACCGCCATGCTCAGTCAGCACTGGATTACAGACACACTGCCATGCTCACTCAGCACTGGATTATACACACACACTGCCAAGCTCAGTCAGCACTGGATTACAGACACACACCGCCAAGCTCAGTCAGCACTGGATTATACACACACACTGCCATGCTCAGTCAGCACTGGATTATATACACACACTGCCAAGATCAGTCAGCACTGGATTACAGACACACACTGCCAAGCTCAGTCAGCACTGGATTACAGACACCCACTGCCAAGCTCAGTCAGCACTGGATTACAGACACACACTGCCATGCTCAGTCAGCACTGGATTACAGACACACACTGCCATGCTCATTCAGCACTGGATTACAGACACACACTGCCATGCTCAGTCAGCACTGGATTACAGACACACACTGCCATGCTCAGTCAGCACTGGATTACAGACACACACTGCCATGCTCAGTCAGCACTGGATTACAGACACCCACTGCCATGCTCACTCAGCACTGGATTATACACACACTGCCATGCTCAGTCAGCACTGGATTACAGACACACACTGCCATGCTCAGTCAGCACTGGATTACAGACACACACTGCCATGCTCAGTCAGCACTGGATTATACACACACTGCCATGCTCAGTCAGCACTGGATTACAGACACACACTGCCATGCTCAGTCAGCACTGGATTACAGACACACACTGCCATGCTCATTCAGCACTGGATTACAGACACACACTGCCATGCTCATTCAGCACTGGATTACAGACACACACTGCCATGCTCAGTCAGCACTGGATTACAGACACACACTGCCATGCTCAGTCAGCACTGGATTACAGACACACACTGCCATGCTCAGTCAGCACTGGATTACAGACACCCACTGCCATGCTCACTCAGCACTGGATTATACACACACTGCCATGCTCAGTCAGCACTGGATTACAGACACACACTGCCATGCTCAGTCAGCACTGGATTACAGACACACACTGCCATGCTCAGTCAGCACTGGATTACAGACACACACTGCCATGCTCAGTCAGCACTGGATTACAGACACCCACTGCCATGCTCACTCAGCACTGGATTATACACACACTGCCATGCTCAGTCAGCACTGGATTACAGACACACACTGCCATGCTCATTCAGCACTGGATTATACACACACTGCCATGCTCAGTCAGCACTGGATTACAGACACACACTGCCATGCTCAGTCAGCACTGGATTACAGACACACACTGCCATGCTCAGTCAGCACTGGATTACAGACACACACTGCCATGCTCAGCACTGGATTACAGACACACACTGCTGAAGGAAGAAATCTTACATACCCATAGATCTGACCATGCCCATTTGGGCGTGGTCACAGTTATGTAGAATGTACAAGCAATAAAAGAGCTGAGGGGAAGGAGACACACTCTGGTTTCTGGTCACGTCTCAGAGAGCAGAGAGCAGGCCTTTGGTTCTCGGGACTCTTGGCTTCTCATGTAACTGACTTCTACCTCAATAAAATATCCTATAACAACCTACCTTGTATTGCTCCATATTCCAAGATATCTGGTGTCGGGAGTCAGGAAAAAAGTTTACCCAGCCTATGGCCCTGTGCATCTTGGCAGCCCTAGAGTTCCTCCTAAATCACCAGGGACTCCCAACTCAGTCCCATTCTCCTGCTCAGCCCGGTTATCTTCCGCCAAACGGGGTCCCATATCCTTTGTTTTCCGGTTGCTGCCAGATCCAGCCCCACACACCCCAGAGTCACCGAGTCCCTGCTTGCCAGCGCCTCCGGCTCCTGCTGCCACCATGGAACCACAAGAGCCCGCCCCAGATTTCTCGAGCAATGGCGTTCTCCCTTTCTGGCGGCCTGCAGAACTCAGCCCCCTCCTCCCCACAGGTTCCCACAATCTGCACCAGGGCTCTTTTCCCTTCCTTTTAAGAAAATCCTTATTGCTAAAGTTCTGTAAAAGCTACTTAGGATTTTTCAGA